CATTTTACAGATGAGGAATTCAAGGCTCAGAGGGGTAGAATAATCAGCCCCAAATCACGCAGCAGTTAGCAACAGGCTTAGGATGAGAATTCGGGTCTGCTGACTGCTTGTATCAAACACAAATTTGAGCTAGGTTGCTGCCTATATAGTCCTTCCTTTCTCCTTCCCTGGAGGGTTCACGTATTTATTAATGTAACAGCCATTAAACCACAAAAACCTATTCTTGTTTTCCATACTAACAGTTTAGCTGCCCCAAATGCTTTTTCAAAGTTTTCTACTGGTCTACTTTAAAGTAATGTAATGAGAAAGACAGAAGTCATAAATGTTCTTGGCTTTTCCATGATGGTTTAGGTCAAGGTGGAGAATGCATTGGACACCCTTTCCCCATTTTAATTACTTTAATAACTGTAAATTTCTCTTCATTAACAGCCTTCTCACCTCACACAGGATGGTATGAGTCAGGTCCTTTGTTTTGTACTATTTGACCTGCCATTTTAACTGCTCAAATTTTTAGGAGGTATTTTGCAGCATCCTTCTTTCTGTTCTCCACAGAAAAAGGCCTGATAGAAATAAAAAATCCAGTCCAATAGAAAATAAAATCAGTCCATAAGGACTATCTTAACCATATGACCATTTAATAAGGATACTTGTCTTTTAGGCCCTGGCTGAAGGAGATGGCCGTATTCAACTTAGCGCAATTCAAAAAACTTTTGTTTTGCCTCTGCTACAAAAGCTAGGTCAGTGGGGCTCAGTTAACTTTCCAAACTTTCAGTGTGGCTTTTAAAATTTTTTTTACTAAATTAACTGATTGACCAAATTGACAGAATCAACTCGTTGTCTTAGCACTGTATAAATACTGCCTTTGACTCTGGTTGACCCAAGAAATTTCAGTTCATTGCCAGTTGTTTGCCAATTTGTAATTAATTCATAGACCCAAGAGAATAGGAGTTCTCAAAGAGAGATCTCCAGGCTGCTCTAGATCCACCAAGGGTTCTCTTGGACTATCTTTCAACTAAGACGCAAGTCAGATCATAAAATGTATCTTTAAAAAAATACCCTTTTAAAATTATGCACTTAATTATCAACAAGCATAAAAATCCAAACACACAAAGAAAAAAAGGGTTGTATATGAAATGCTGAACTTTGGTTATGTATGTTTGCTTTAAAACAGAACATAGTAAGTTTAAGAAGGTAGTAATAAAACTACCATTTGTTTCTGTGGCCCTTTGTGAATTTTTTTTCCTGTTTTATTGATGCTTTATTTTTTAAATACTTGAATTCTTTTAAAATAGTTTTTCAAGGCACACATGAAACATACACATTATTTTCTAAAGTAGCCACATTTATCATTATTCATTCAGGCAAAAGCTCCACAAAATTGTATTGTGGTTTCAAGGGTTTTGGAAGGGATTGCAACAGCAAATCCAAGGAGACTTTTGCCCTGCCCTAAGAAGTTCACGGACCAAGAAATCTGAGAAATGCTGGGTTACAAGGAGAAATTGGCTCTTGTATATCGGTGAAACAAGAATTTTTAGGGGCATAAATGAACTAACATGAAAGATTCCATTCTTATATCACTTGCATGAATATCCCTGTTATACTTAAACATTTCTCCCAACCTGATGGGATACAAGTTGCTTGTACTAGGAACATTGTGTAGCAGTTGTTTTTAAGTTTATATTAAAAGAGTTTTTCCTAGAGCCTCAGTTACGTGTTACGCATACGCTCTTATGTATGCACAGATTTCCTTCCGCATATGCGATTAAATTTCAAGACTGTGTAATACTGATCATTGACAACTAGATGGATTTTTCTTTAAAATGTTCTTTGAGTCAATTCTATGTAATAGTCCTAGGATGCTGAATTACTCAAATATGTTGTTTCCTGAGGACACTTCCCTACAAAACAAAGAATAATAAGATATGTATGTGCATTATCATTGGGCCAGCCAAATCCTTGAAGGGATTAGGGAATATCCCCATTTGGGGGTCAAGGTAGAGGGGTCAGTATTGAATGCCTAAATTTGTGACCAGTTATACTAATAAAGTTCCAGTGAGATGAGTAAAGCATTATTGGATCGATTGAATCACTCATTATTTGCTTTATGATGTAATTGGGTGCCAATGGGCAAACACAAACTGTAGGTAGTCATGTCCCTGTTCTGCAAGTCTCCTGTATATAGGCCCAGGTTCAGATAATCTCGTGAAGACAACTATAATACCAGGTCACTTGGCTTCATTCGCAAAGGTGGTAGATCCCTGTTTGTTGGCCCTCGGGGTTGTCTGTGGGACACAAGTATTATTCTCTTGTTCTAACTCTCCATCATGGGAAAAAAGGAGCATCCTTGGGACGTGGATGGAAAGTATCAATAAGGATACAAAAGCAGAACTGATCTTTGTAGTGTGAATATTTATGTTATTTCAAATGCTTCTCAACTTAAGCTTTAGTATCTTCTGGAAAAGTCAATAATAGCGTATCCGGTTATTACTTGGCTTTGTTTTTTTTTAATTGCTTATTTTTTGTTTGCTTTGTAGAACAACCTATATATTATTGCTTTACAAATAAAGGTTAAGGTGATGGTAATGCTGTCAAAATCACAGTAAAAATGAAGGGTAAATATAATTTTTTAAAAATATTATAGGTAAGAGAAAAAAAGGCCTCCGTTCAAATTCTAGCTTATGGCCATTTCATAGGACCGTAGCCTTAGAGTCAGAAGGAACCTTAGGGTTAATTAGTTTAATGCTCTTATTCTATAGGTAAGGAAACTGAGGACCCTACAGGTGAAGTAACTTGTCCAACGTCCCACTGGTAGTAAACAGTCAAACCAGGATTTGAACCCAAGTCATTTGACTCCAGATCCAGGGTTCTTTCTACAGTATCAAATTGCTACCTCAGTAAGAAAATGGTACTGACTTGGCCAGTGGGACCAAAACCACTCTATTTCTTTTCTTCCACAACAAATTTGGAGTGTCTGTCTGTACTTAATGAGGAGATCTTCCATCAGGTCCTGGACTGCTATGGCAGCCATTTGAAGAAAAAAAGTCCTTTCGCCAGCAGCCTTGAGTTAAATCATTTTCATTTGGGCAGCTACAGATGTCATTCAGATGTTGAAATAATAGGATTGAAGAAAAGCTGACAAGGTAGCCCATTGGCTTTCTGTTTTGTCTCCAAGGGTCAAAGGGCCCAGCTCCCTATACCGTCCTATCCTCATTAGATGGATCTCAGGTTTACTCTTCGCCACCACTACCCTATGGTAAAAAGGCCTGCCTTTTCTTTCCACTCTGGCTTCTCCAGTGGTACTGTTTCCTATATATTTGTCTACTACTCATCTACAAACATTACAGTTTGGGATCACGGCTAAGTTTCACTTTGGTTTGAGGTAGTTTTTTTTTAAGTGGGGGGAAGTGCAAACCAGTCATAGTTATAGTATCTCACGGGTAAGATCTATATCACCCAATCAGCTTAGTCCTAGATCCCCCCATAACCCCCACATACCAACTGATTGATTTTCTCCACCCTCTACATTCAACACATTTTTACTGTTTGCTTGGGCATCATGGAGCTTCCATAGGTCACCTGAATCCAATATATTGTTTTCACAGGAAGATAGACTCTGGTTTCTCTTATGTGCAAACAGCTATGCAATGTGACTCATTCACAATGAAAATATTGAGCAGAAAAAGTTGTGTTCTTACAGAAAATGTCATGTCGCCCAATTTCCCATAACCTAACTCCAAAGAAATGAAGAGAGCGTGTGCTCCTGAAAGAGGCATAGGTGCCATGTTGCTCTCTTAATCACCCAGACTTTCTTCCTCATCTCTCAGAGGCTTGAGAGCGTAGAGTGGAATATCGGACTATGTAAAATGGTGGGAAACTAGGTATGGAGAGAAGTCTACATCTGTTGGAAGGCAGTTTCCATTTCCAGCTCCTTTCTTTACCTCTTTAAGTTCAAACCAGGCTCATCCCACCCTTGATGAAAATAAAAACCCTATATATGTAAGATGTCCAATACCGAAGCTACCCATTCACTTTCTTCCCTGCGCCCTGAGCTAGAAGACAGGGCAAAACTGAAAAAATCCTGAAGTGAACATTGGAAGAAAGTCACTTGATGGTTATTGCCATTTGGGGTGTCTCTAGAAAAGGCCAGCGCCAAGGGCCAGCCTCAGCATCCCCTAGCCTCTTGCTCCCTATTTGCCCCCCCACTCCTTTTAAGCCTAGAGAGTGACTTGAGAGCTGTTGCAGAGCCCAGGTTGGGTGTGTCAAGGGCCTGCCTGCAGGCCTCTCTCTAGGCCATGGATCTACAGGGCCAACTATGACAAAGCTTTTTGAAAGTCCAGGCTTTTCACCAACACTTTTTGATAGCATGCAAAATGAGGGCCTGGTCTGGCTGAAGTGCCTAGATACCCTCTTAGGGACTCAGGAAAAACTGGCTGCAAAGGAAAGAGCCTTCCCAACTCCAGCTCTTCCTGTTGGCCCACTTAACATTCATCATTCATCCTGAGACAGCCCAACAGGAAACCTGAGAATACTTTTTAGTTTGCAAAGAAGAAAAGGGTCCAAACAAGAGTGGTAGCAAGTGGAAGGCTCAAATCCCAAAGCAGGACAAGCAACACAGCTCAGATGACAGTTTCTGGTTCAGGTCTGCCTTCTCTTGTGCCCTCCTCCCCGAAGACACCAGCAACTGCTTCCGTTGTCCTTATGTCTTGACCCCTACCTCATTCCCTTCTGCAGGCTTTTTTTATACCTAGGGGGGAAAATCTATGTCTAGGAGAGTCAGGGGACATGTAGGAAAGTTATGTCTTTGAGTGGCTAGCTCTGAAATTATGCCCAACTTTCTTGTAATGAGGAGGACAAGCGTAATACAGGTAGGGTTCCATCCTGTCTCCCCCATCACCACTCTCCTTCTCTGATGCCAGGAGGATGGAGAGACCCATTTCTTTCCCCCTTCTCCAATGGATTTCTAAAAGAGTCCCCCCTGCTATCTGAAAACGTGGCCTTACCTGTAATTGGGACTCGTGCCTGCAGGATGGCTGCGATAACAATCCCCTTCCACTTCATCTCTTTCTTTCCCCCAGGATGGTGCTGGGGGGGACAGGAGGCCAATTGGCAGCCGGGTCTGGGACGATGAAGAGAAAAGCTACCTCCGCAGGCTTTGTTCTTCTGACTGCCTCCTCAGGAAGTGTGAGGACTAGAAGATCTTTCAGAAAGCACCTGCCAACAGGGAGGCTGCATAACACACACTCCCCCTTTCGGTTCACAATGAAGAAGCTTCAGAGGTTTGAGGTTTTGGGGTGTGTGTGTGTGTGTGTGTGTGTGTGTGTGTGTGTGTGTGTGTGTGTGTGCTTTTTCTCTTATCTCTGGATTGATCTTTCATTTTCCTTTTTTTCAATAGGGTTGTTATAAATGGCTAATTGCACACCCCATGCTCTAGGGATCAGGTAAGTTTGCTTCCTGGACAGACATGACCCAGCTGCTTGGTAGAACTGAGAGCTACCTGTTCCCTGGCCCCTTTTCTTGCACCTCCTAATGTCAGTGCCTATCTGACTGACAGAACCTGCCGGGTAGCTAGGAACCAACAGACATCAATGAATCAGATTTTATATTTTGCAGAGTACATTTTGAAGAAAGGAGTTGGCCACTTAGAGATAAGTTTTAGAGACCCTCTTCCCACTCCACCCACCCCCAATCATGTTCACCAACCCTTTCTACATGTTCCAACTTGACAGTAGGGATGTTGATAACAGATCTGGTTCTCTCCCCTTTCCTGCCCCTGACCTGGTAGCTTAGATCTGAAGAAATGTCCCAATTTTCTGATACTGAATGGAGGCAGGCTAACCCTAAGTTTCATTAAAGATTTGTGAGAATTGAGTTTCAGTGGAACAGGAGAGTGTTTCACAGCCTTACACATTCCAGCAAGATTAGTCCTGACTTGGGTTTGGAGAGGGAGGTCAGCTTGCATTGAATATACATATCTAGACCCATCCTGGGTCACTTTTCACACTATGTGGTAGTAGGTCATCTGGAAGCACTCTTGAAAGTTATTATTCTGGAGGCAGCACAGTAGAAAGCAAGGTGGATATAGATTTGAAGTACTTGGTTTCAAATCCTGGCTCCATTAATGTGACCTGTATTAACCTTAGTCAGATCGCTAAACCTCTTTGGGAATCTGTTCTTCATCTATAAAATAAGAGTGTCAGACAGCTAGGTGGAGCAGTGGATAGAGCACTGGCCCTGAAGTCAGGAGGACCTGAGTTCAAAACCGGCCTCAGACACTTGACACTTACTAGCTGTGTGACCCTGGGCAAGTCACTTAACCCCAATTGCCTAAAACTAACTAAATAAAGAAGAGTGTTGAAATAGATGACTTCTAGATGGTAGGTACAGCTTCCAATTATAGATAAAGATATCCAGCTCTATGTCATATAGTCTATTTTTTTTCCTCCAGTAGAATGTTAGCTCTTTGAAGGCAGGAATGATTTTGTGTTTCATTTCATTTTTGTCTTTGTAGCTCTAACACCTAACCCAGGAACTTGCACATAAAAAGTGCTTAATAATAATTGTTGGATTGGACTGACTAGGACTGGATTAGACTGAAGTTGGGTCATAACGTTCCTACAGAACTCACCTGTTCTCCACATAATCTTTGGGCCTGAGAAAGACTGAAGGCTGGTTTGACCAGAGCTAAAATGGTCTTGGGAACATTGCAAGTTAAATAGCTTTTGGAATCACTTCTATTAACTATTAATGAGCAAGAGTGACAGCTGCTGAGTTTCAGGCTAGAGATCAAGGGATATGTAACTTAGGTAGAAGGTGGTAATGCCTTCTTGTGTCATTTACATGATTAGATTAAGTCCTTGTTAACCAAATTAACATAGATGAGGCCTTGGCCCCGGCATGGATGATGTCTCCTTGGTAAGTCAACTTGACCCTAGTACTTATTGGTATTTTAACACCACTTTAAGGATCATTTGTTGAATTGTAGCTAATAACATCCTTGAGCTATGGCTGAAGTCCAGTGACCTTGGAATTAGCTGTAGAGAGGCAGAGAGGAACAGAGATTTAAAAAGCCGTAGAGAGAGATTCTGGTCCTCTGGAAGCAAGCCAATGTAGCCCTTCCAGGGAACTAGGTCCTTCAAGGAATGGAAAAGAGAACCTTGTCATCTCTGGGATGGCAGCAAATGGAGACAATGGTGGAACAGAGAAGACAAGCCAGGACCAGCCAGGAGCTACAGGACCTAACCTGGCATCACTGTGGCAGCAGTGGTAGAGTGATGGAGGGAGGAGTTCTTGGACAAGAAGTAAAATGATCAGACCGAGCCTCCTGGACATGGAGAAGGAGTTCCCAGACAAAGCAGGACCCACAGCTAAGGAACAATGAGGAACAGATGTGGACTTAGAAAGGTGTGGAGAGGGGGAAGCCAATTTTCTACAAACCCTGAATTGTTTCCCCTTTGAGAGGAACCCCAACAAAGGTATTATTATAAGTTTAGAAGATTATATAAGTTCTAAGGAAGGTGAGATTCATTAGAAGGAAGGGTTGCTTGACTCTTTAGCAACCCTCAATGTTTGTCCTTACTGGAGGGACCTCAGCAAACATAATGCTTTAAGTCTGGAGGTGACTTCCCTGGGAAGGTGGAGCTTATCCAAGGGAGAAGTATTAACTGTCTAGAGTCTCCTCGGGCTTTCCCTTTCTCCAGAGTGCTCTAAGTCTTGAAGATTATTTAGATCTCTGGGAGAGGTGGAGGTCCACCAGAGAGAGAAGGAAATTTCTCTTGACTATTTATGGATTAATTGTGAGTTATTTGAATTTTCTTTCAGGTGAAATTAAAGTCTGTCCTTTATTTGATATGCTGTTAGACTGAGTGCTTGCATGGGAACTGAAAGTCTTTTTTCCTTTCTGTGGAGATCAAGGAATGAACCTAATTCTAATGTTTCCAGGGAAACCTTGGATGGGGTCACAAACCAAAGAGAGAGTATGACTACTGAGAAGCCCCCAAGACTGGGTTCAGATTATAATACTCAAAGCTATTGGTTCTGGACCACAGGTTACACTTAGAAATTGGTGCTGAATGAAAAAAGAAAAGATGTCATCGTTGTTACTTTGACACTCAGGTTTTTCTCCCTTAACGCAAGATCACTCTTCAACCCAAGATCTGTGGAAATATCCCAACTATCTATAAGTGGACAGAAGGTGGTCTTTCCTCACATTCATGCAAAACTGTGAAAGTTGAATCCATAGCTAGACAGAAGAGAACCTCAAAGACTTACACACTACGGAAAGACGAGAGTTTGTGTACTGCTGGTATTGGGGTTTGAACCTAGGAGCAGCTCCTCAGATAGGGCTGATTTCATGAGAGTCATCCAATCTTTTATCCCAGAGACTTCAAGGTATCTAGGCCAAAACACTCAGAGGAAGCTGTGTCTCTGGGACACACACACACACACACACACACACACACATCTTACAGAGCTAGAAGGGACTTGACCAAGATTCAGAATCTCTAACTTCCTTCAAGGTTCACCTCATGTGCCATCTCACACAGGAAGACGTTACAGCTTGCTCCTTCCTCCTCAAAGTCTCATGTACACACACACATCTGTTTACGTGTTGTTCCCCCGCCTCCCCATCCTGCCTCTGACTAGCACTTACTGGGTGACTCTGGGTACTGGGCTTAACCTCTCCATTCTCTGGGCTGATGGTGTCAAACTCACATAGAAATGGGAGCTGCTAAACCATACATAAGGATTTCTACGGCTGCATATTGAATTAGAAAACCACATTATTGTCATTATTTATGTTCTATTGTACTCTTATTTATTTTTTTCATTGTTTCTTAATTACATTCTAATCTACCCAGGGCCACATGTGACCCACAAGCTGGGTGTCTGCCACCTGGGCCACATGCAACTCTTGAAGACTATGAATTGCCTGGACCTACAGTGATAGAGAGTTCCTTATCCAAGAATTCCCTTTATTAAGTCCAATCTCTACCCCCCATCCCTTATCTCCCCAAGGTGAGCTCCTTGAGGGCAAGACTAATCACTAGGACAGACCAAGGGCCAGGTTCTCTTCAGTCTGGAGGACCAGTCTCACATCTACTACTCTTCTTAGGCTCCCCACACCCTCCCAGCATGTATGCACTCAACCCAACACCAGAGAATGATCCAGGGAAACACCAAGCTTTCCGTGGCTTTCAGAGAGCTGACTATCTCTGCCCCTAGTAACACCCCTTTTGTGAGTAGCAGTTGTCCCTTATTCTAAGATCGTGGTGTGTAGATATACGCAATTAGACTAGCATGGCTTGTGGTTCCCCTAATTCAGTTCTAGCTTTCGCTTTCTAGTGGCATAAACATTATAGGACCCCTGATCAATTCTTGCTGCTTGCTTATTAGTAATGAAAAAGCAAAGCCAGGCTCAAGGACAGGCTAATGTGCAGAGATAGACCCTTCCCGTGGCTTCCATTTCTCCGTCTTGCCTTATTGTCTTATTCCTTTCTGAAAAGACTGCATCCCAGCCTAGCCCGGCCCCACAGCCCTTTACCTAGTTTTGACATTGCCCTGGGAACTGAAATTTTAGGGGCAGTGCTTCATCTTCCCTCTATGCCCTTGGTAGATTCACAAATCAGTATAACCGTTTCAGAAAGCAATTTGGAATTATGCAAATAAAATGACTAGAATACCCACACCCTTTGACCCAGAAATTCTTTTTACTTAATCTTTTACCCCCAAGGAAATGATAAATAAGAAGAAAGTCCTCACATACACCAAAATATTTATGGCAGCACTTTTTGTGGTAGCAAAGAATTGGAAGCAAAGTAGATGCCCATCAGTTAGGGGATGGCGAAACAAATTGTGGTACGTGAATGTAATAGAATACTCCCATGAATATTCCCCATAAGAATTCTTAGAATATACCTTATAAGAAACAATAAATATGACGAATACAGGGAAGCATGGGGAGATGTACATGATATGATGCAGAGGGAAGTAAGCAGAATTAAGCAAACAACATACATAAGGACCACAACAATGTAGATAGAAAGAAAAACCACAAAATGCTATGTGTGAAGGACAAAGAGGGGTGGTTGGCTGAATCACAGAGTATTGTAAGGATAATAATATATAATGAGGCTAGAAAGATAGAGTGGGGCCAAGTTGTGAAGAGCTTTAAAAGCTAGACAGAGGCC